AAAAACTTTAAATCAATTGAATCGCTTGTGTAACGATCTGCAAACTCGGGGCATACTCGGGACGGTCCCTCCTGTTACCGTAGACCCTATCAAGAACAGTACTTTAACCCCATCAAGAAAGGACTTTCCTGTATGAGTTTAATCCATCTAAAATTTACCAAGCCACATTTTGTGTCTAATTCTAATGCTATGTACCATACACATACCAGATAATTGAAAAATGCTTTCGTTTACTCACGTAGCTAGGTCTTTGTCAGGATTTTGTTTTTCATTAAAGTTTCGGAAGTCTCACCTTCCTACAGGGGTCTCTCCTCTTATCAGGGGTTTCACCTTTCGCCAAGCATTTAACCTTTTATCAGGAGCTTCGCCTTTCGCCAATTCGCATAAATGGTTTCATCTAACAACTATAGTTCAAAGTAGTTCTAACAAAATAGTTCCTAATAATAGTGGCAATAATGAGTCTCTTCATGAGTACGGCAAACATCTGCTTTCCATGCTTCCGAAGTTTATACAACAATATTCGGTTTACAAGGACGAATTAACACTTTATGTTGCACCGAGTGCTATTATTCCAGTGATGACCTTTCTTCGGGATCACACTGGATCACAATTCAAACAAGTTCAAGACATTTGCGGTGTTGATTACCCTTCGCGTCCGAATCGGTTTGAAATTGTATATAATATGTTAAGCCTTCGTTATAACGCTCGGATTCGCGTAAAGACGTATGGCAATGAAGTTTCACCTATACCTTCAATCGTCTCGCTTTTTAATGGTGCAAATTGGTTTGAGAGAGAAGTTTATGACATGTTTGGCGTGATTTTTACCGGTCATCCGGATTTGAGAAGAATCTTAACGGATTATGGGTTCGAAGGGCATCCTATGCGAAAAGATTTCCCACTAACCGGTTATGTTGAAATACGGTATGATGAAGAAAGAAAGCGCGTCGTCGCAGAACCTTTAGAATTGACACAGGCATTTAGAAATTTTGAAGGAGCGGCATCACCGTGGGAACAAACTGGTATGCCATTTATGGACATAGTTTCTGCATTTATAATTAATTTGATTTATTTTATTCATTAATTAGGTCCCGGCAATGATGTAAGGCCAGATTCTTTCAAACTTGAGAGTCTTCTTCCAAAACCACAATCTCCAGAAAAGAAATAATAAAGTTGCATGACAATGCAAAATTGGTTTTATTCACGATTGAGACGTGTCTATATTAGAGTAAGTGCTGGGCACGGTACTATTAAATCATAATTCCAGGCGATGTTGTACACGAGTCAGTTGGGATATTGTAAGGATGCTAATAACTTAAAATTAAATATAGTATGTAATAGAGTTGCAGGTGAAACTAATTAATTTCACCAGTTGAAACTGGTGAAACTGGTGAAACTTAAAAAGTCATTTGGTGAAACTGGTGATACTGGTGGAACTGGGTAATACTGGTGATACTGGTGATACTGGTGATACTGGTGATACTGGTAATACTGGTGATACAATTAATATGAATAAAATAATTAAATATACAGAGGCCAGATTTATTGTTACTATAAATTTATGCTAAATATTT